TCATAATGGGCGGTGTTACGCCCACTTTTAAAAAATTTTCAAACCACAAGTGCCCCTCATTATTGCGATTCGTTGTGCCATATAACGGGTTTGCCGGATTTCAACTCATCTCATCATCCTGATCATTTATATATATAACCCTATATCTAACTCATCATCCTGATCATTTATATATATAACCCTATATCTAACTCGATTATGTTTAGGTGATACAAACAACCGTTAGATGAACAAAACAACAATCAGAGAATGTTAATGAAAATTTGCTCTGGCACCATGTTTTAAGAGCAGAGGATGTTAATAACATTCTCTGTATAAAGTGACGAGCAGCTTTTTTTGCGAACTTTCAAAAGAGCTTTAAGCAGAGATGAGAACCGAAAATAGGGTGTGCAAAGTTTTAATAAACTGCCTCGCATCGTTTGCGAATATACCAGAGAATGTTAATGAATGGAGGAGCAAACAGAGAATGTTAATGAATTTCATGCCAATCACAGGAGTATTTCATATAGCAACTATAACTAAATCTAAAAACTTAACCAGCCAACGGTCAATTTGTATGGCAGCTATATGTTGTAATGGTCCGATCTGAACAATATATTTTGAGATTGTAACCTTGACCGAAAAGGACTTGAGGAGAAAAGGACGTGCGCAAAATTTCAGATCGATATCTCAAAAACTGAGGGAATATCTCGATTATATACAGATGAATATCCGGTCAGACGAACATGCCTAAATCGACACAGCTTGTCATGCTGATCATTCATATACACATTTTATGAGGTTTCCAACGCTTCTGGGTGTTACGTGGCAGATGAATGTTTACAATAAATCGAAAATGCGGCAACTATCTCAAATAAGCTAGCCTAAACGAACTCACAACTTATATACCGAATTATCGAATTGCAGGCGAACGGATGCTCAGAGTGTATTCTCCAATGAAGTTGTTAGTACCCACTTAATTTTAAAAATGTTGTTACCTCTTTTATCGACCTATTAGAGAAGTTTCGGTATTGAAGGCTTCTTAATTTGGTAACTGAAGCCCCTCGCTATATCATCAACTGTTGTTGAGATCATAAATCTAAGAAACAGACACATAAATCTGACATTAATATAGAATGCGGCTATCAAGACGGAAACTAAATCAAACTCCTAAATCAGGAATATAGAACTTTTCTAATCTGGTTATAGACAGCTTTGCCAAGGGAAAAAAATCATATAATCAAGTAACAGTAGAACGTGATGCTGTTGCAAGTGTTGGCAGAAACTCACACAAAAGTCTACCTTACTTAACATATGAAACTGGTTTCCAGCACGAAGTTACACTAAACACTATCTAAAAAAAATATCAGAAAAGTATAGATATACAAATCTATGAGAAAAGGCCGCTTCAACCTTTCCTCATGAAGAAAGTTTTAACGATCAATAAAAATTTTAATTCGGATATAATAATATATTAAATATCATACATAATTTCAGAAATACAATATCATTTTTATTTCTCGGTGGCTCTCACGAGCTCATCCTGGTTTTCAGTGACTGTCCCTGTTTCTTCCTGGTTGTCAGTGATTCTCCTTAGTTCCCCTTAGTTCTCACTGGCTCTCTGTGTTTCTCTGTGGGTCCTATTGGTTTTTACTGCATCTCAGTGGCTGTTTCTGGTTATCAATGGTTCTCACTGATTCTCGCTATTTCTTAGTGGCTCTCTCTGGTTCTCAGTGGCTCTCCCGATTGCACCCCGAATCTCTCAAGTTCTCTGTTGTTCTCCCGGTTTCTCTCTTATTCTCAGTGATTCGGCCAATTCCACCATGAATCTCAATGCTTCTCAGTATCTCTCCTTGATTCTCGCTAGTTTAACATAAAGTGTTGCCACACCTGATGGTATTTTTCAGGCTTTGCAAGTTCCGAGAGTATAAAACTTTCGATTACACTCGAACCTCGCTCTTCCTTACTTATTGTAAATCTAATATTTCTAATCTAAGCAGGATATAATAACGAAACGGCCTACAAAGAATTCCTACTTTACTATATTATATTACGCACGTTTTCAACTAAATCTGCAGAAACTCGTGAACTTAACTCTTCCTTACTTGCTTCAAAATGTCCTATCCGAATAAAGTAATTTGTTGGTCTAACGAAATATTATATTATATTATTAATAACAATTAAGGCTCTAAATTTTTTTTCCAAAAATGTTCTCATTATGGTCATTTTAGTATTTTTTTGTATTTTTTTAAACACACTAAAACCATTTTATTATTTTCTTTATTGCTATTTATTTATAGTCAACATTTAACAGATTTTAACAATCATATTTATTTAAAATAGTACTTGTAAACATTTATATGCTTAAACATATATGTATATATATATTTAATATATGTGCCCTAAATAAATACAATAAATTAGTTGAAGAAGAGAGGAAAATTTTAAACATTTAAGTCAATATATTTGTCCATATACAAGTATATTTTATTGGTTTATTTAGTCCAAGACATAATATAATACATGCGAGTATACAGCAGTGAACGAGCTCAAACAAAGGTCTTACAATTAGTAAAAACTTCACCATTTGTGAGAATACAGTGAAAAATGTTGTATATAAAGTTGGTTAAAATTAAAAAATTTGTGTGATATTTCTTATTTTAAAAATTAGTTTTATAATAATCCGATATATCCGAATATTTTAACTTACTCAGGTATCACAACATATCGTAAAGCAACCTAAATAAACCTAATAAATACATAATAATGTAAAATATGTACATATAACTAAACTTAAGTACCGTTTATTGAATATTTACATGCCAGTTTTCAAATAAAATTCAAATAAATATTTATTTATTTATTATTTAAAAATATATATAAGCTTAATCATTGCAGAATTTATTGTAATTTCAAAGAAAAACTATCAATTCGTAACGAATTTGGAAAGGAATGGAGAACTGGCCTGCTCGAATAGACTTTTGAAATCGTTTCCAACACGACTAAACAAGTTTCTCGATCTACGAGGCTCTAATAAGAAAATGTTATTTCTCGAAACTATTCGGAATAAATTCTGCATTTATTGGATTTTTGTAGAAAATTGTAACCTTCCCTAAATGTTGTTGAGTGGAAACCAAGTAATTGGAATAGTTACTATCTATTTAGGTATAAAAATACGATTTGATTAAAAATACAAAATCTCCAAAAAACTTGTAAATTTTTTTTTATATCTACATTCAGCTGCATTTTTAGTTGTCTTTATAGCTAATTACAATACATATATATATAATATATATATTTACAAGTATTTATAACTCGTTTGCCCTAACATTTGGTCTCAAGTATTTGTAAAACACTCAGCATTCTGCAGCTATAATATTTCAGAAAAGTGTCCGACCTAAAATGTATTTTGTTCCCCACTCATTTGTGATAAAAATAGTCAATAAACTATTTGGTGAAAAAAATGGAATTATAGCTTGTGAGAATTGGCTAATTTTTCGCTTACTAATAATTATCTTTACAGATTTCAATAAGACAAGCTATACTTTCGTTGTACTTTGCAGCAATGTTCTTCAATAAAATCAGTTAGTTTTGCGAATTTCTATTTTCACCTGCTATTCGCAATGTTTACTACATAATATTCTCAACTTGATAGCAAACACATCTCATTGTAATTCCATATGTAAATCCAGATGGGGAAATATTAAACTAGTCGACTTGCAACTGCAAACTCCTGACTGCAACCCAACAAATCAAGTAAATAATATTGCTAGCTGCTTAGAATGTTTAACGCAATAAAATTTGTACGATAACAATAAAGTTTTCCTAAACCGAAGAGATTATGTATCTAATTACTATAATACGGTTAGCGAACTAGAGAGGTTCAAGAATGTTACGTGTTTCAAATATCTTTGAGAAGGGCTACCAGCTTAGCTTGAAGATATTTAATATATGTAATATAGCCAAAATAAGAGAATTTCACAATTCTTGGATAAATATAGAAAGATATTTTCAACAATAATTGAGATATCACAATATTAGTCTACAAACTCTTTGAATCATCCACGTTTCCAAATGCCGGACAAGTTATTTAAAGCAAGAGTGATTGAAATATAAATTACAACATTTTCGTACCGTTATTTCTCAGTTTGTATGACGACATCTGAGCAGTTTCTTAGTGGAAAGGACAGATGCAAAACTTCAGATCGATAGCTTAAAAACTGAGGGACGTATAAACAGACAGACAGACGGACATGGCTTAATCAACTCAGCTCATCATGCTGATTATTTATGCATATATTTTATAGGATCTCCGACGTTTCCTTCTGGGTGTTACAAACATCAAGGCAAACTTAATATACCCTGTTCAGGGTATAATAACCCCAAAGCGTTTCACCTATGACACACACACTTTATGTTATAGTATGACACTTAGGCGGTGGACGAAAAATTACGTATGACATCACAGGTGTTGATATGACAAAAATATATCAGGGAGTGTTTGTGCAAGATTATAGTGTATAACTGCTGCTGCGTCCATACGTTTCTAACTATACTCCCATACATGTATCAGACATACACGTTCATTATCATACATTTACAATACAAGTTACTTGTACATACATATTAATGTGCATTTTGCAATAATTTACCTAAGTTTCTATATAATAAAGTCACAGACAATTACAACAACAAGTATACATCAGCACGTTTTCATAAAGTATTATATTTGGAGACCCAGTTTTGAAGATTTATTTGATATGAAACTCTCTCAAGTCTCTGCAAATTGTTATTAATTCTAGGCTGGAGCGCCTTTTGTTTTCAAGTCACATTGTCAGGTTAAGGGTTAATGCTTTCAGAGTTGTATGTGATTGTATATTTAGTTAATTGTTTGATTTTTTTCTCTGATTGGCATATCCTTTAATAACACATGTACAAAGCTTACATCCACACAAATATCATTGCTAGATATTATGTAACTTATACTTCGGTTTCTTGCAAATGAACAAAAATTATACATATTTACTAACACACTGCAGCTTCTCCCCGTTTTATTCGTTTATTTAGTAAGATTGTCCACAACTAGGACTTTAACTGTGTATGTATTATCTAAGAGCTGCTAAACTTATACAAAGTCCTCATGATTTTTCAGCATTAATTGCAACTCAGCTTGTCGGCTGGACGACGATGAACTCCGATGCTGACGAGAGGAGCCCTGCATCGTGACATTCGTAGTGGTATACGGAGCCGATATGCTGTTCTTATACTTCATCGCACTTTGCTTGCAAATACCAAATCTGAAAAGAAAGATTATTTTTCTGAATTATTAACTTAATCGAGTTGCAACTAATTTACTACAAAATACGTCATTAGACTGTCACTTACCTGGAGAGCAGCGCGTATAGATCCGCGCGATATTGAGAGGTGAGCAACGCGTATAAATACGGATCGGCGCAGGAGTTCAGAGGGTAGAAGAAGACCAAGAGAATTTTCGATTTAGTCACATTTATCAATGGATAACCCGCGAGCGCGGTAAGTCCAAAGAAGGCTATAGGAGCCCAGCAGGAAAAGTTGGTGAAGACCTGCAAAAGATAATTGAAATCCTGTTTAAATAGTTGCATATGCTAAAGTCATGTAGGTGTGGCTTGGTTTCGACTAATACAATTTGCTTAAGTTAAAGATAAAAGCATTAGATTTATGAGGTGGAGTACCTTTTAGGACGAGTTTTTATTAAGTTAACTAATTCAAATGGATATACTGTTTCTTCTGGAAAAAATGTTATGTGAGAAGTTGTCATTTTTGTAGACGCTTATTCAACAAAGGAAACATGTTTGTCACTGTAGTATAGTGAATTAACCTATTCATACGCATCCAGCTTCGATCTCTAATTAATTAAAATCAGCGATTTTTTAAGTCATTAACTTTGGCTGTTGGAGCCACAAACATTGCATTCAAGTCATATTGTCCGACAAAACTTCGAGTCAAACAGTTATACTTCATTCAATTAATTTTCTCATTTATGCAAGTCTATGTCAATTATGTAAAGATATTTATGCATATTTATCAATATATATGTATAATGCTTACCAATAGAGCCATTTTTTTCGCAACAGTCATTTCTCCTCGATGTGTGCTGTGGGCATGACGTGTCTCTTTGCCGAGTGATCTGTACATTTGGGCATAGCAAACCGTTATAATGGAGAATGCCATGCCATTTGAACCCAAAATAACCACCAGAAAAGCTGAGTCATATAAATCACTTATCTCCATCGGCAAACAAATACTATAAAATATATTTAAATTATATTATAGATTTGAATTATTAGAGAACATTACATAATAAATACGAATGTTTTTACACAAATTCTTATGAATTCCAATAATCACTAAGGAAAATTATATAGATTTTCCTATTTAATAGGATGGCCTTGTTATACACATTGCTCTTGTTTCACTTTATCAAAAATAATTTGGGGTATGGACTTCCAAGAACTCGTATATAATATTATAATTTACTAAAGTGCGCTACGATTCAATAAAGTAGTTAGATTCAATAAAGTAGTAGATTAGTTTTTGTATGCTTTACTTTGTAAATATCATAACTTTGGTACATCCACCATTAGGTAGTCTAAATTACCTTCTGTGTGATAAGACTTGTGTAATACATTAGGACCAGAATGTTTCCGGAAATTATTGGTCCACAATTCCGGCCGTTTATGACGGATGTTTTCGCGCAAACGCCTCAAAACGCTCAAATAATACTCTTCATGATGAACCAATTAAGGCCGTAAAAGAAAATTCGCAGAGAGAACTGAAGGCGATCCCTTACCCGGATCTACAAGGCATGTTTCGATATGTGCATCGCTTCAGAATTTACATATGTATACTAAACAACTGTAATTCCTATTAAGGGGTTAGGTGTGATCAGAGACATGAAAAAATAATATATTATTTTAAAGAATATTTTTTTTGCCAGTAAATTATTTTGTTTTATAAAAGTAAAAACATGGCATCATTAAATAAGGTTTCGACATGACTTGGTTGTTTGTGTTATCTAGTTCCAAGCAAAGTTCCTTGCGGTAACCATCACTAATCCTTGGAGATTCATCGAAAACCAATCGGATTTGCTTTAAAAAAAGCTGTATAAATTTCATTGAAATCTACCGAATGGTTTTCGAACTACAGTGGTCAGGTCGATTGTTTAATAGCAAAATTGACCATGTTAGATTGCGGTGAAACCTTCTAGGCATAGACATTTGTTTAGGCGACGGTAATCGCTTCATGAGCACCACTCTTTCTGGGCACGAGGTGTAGATGTGATGACCATGAGCTGTCTGATGGTCTTGAAACTCGAGATTTATATGTATTTATGTGATGCTGCGCTGTGTACGAAAGGTATTCGGGTTATGCAGCAGCTGTTAAAATTTGATCGAAATGTACAGTCACGCTTTTGGTTGTGCTTGCGATGAATAGTCGAACGGTGTCTCCGATGAGTCGTTGATTATCCATTTTTGACACTAAACAGCACTTTTACAGTTTCTAAAAGATTTCTTCATCTTCATCTCACGTCAAAAGTCCAATATTTAAAAATATTTTGAAATCACTTATTCGCCTTCACATTGAGACAAAACCAATACTCTTTAGCACCATTTTGAGAGATTATAAATCCCCTAAGCTCTTACCAAGATTCATCTTTCTGCAATCGTAGAAGTTCTTACTGGACATTCTACAACGTCTGTTCTGTTGGACATGGGTACCTGCCGTGTTACAGCCTAACCCCACAGTTCTCAAGAGCACGGCGAATCAAGACAATGCTTTGATCAGCGCCCAAACAATACAAACATTATTTGGTATCAATTGGTAGAATAGATGTCCATTCCACATTGGCCGTGACCTAGGTCCCTAAAAGTAGTGTATTTTTTTGAGAAAACTTACAATAGTAATTTATATATTATATTTATACCCTGAACGGGGTATATTAAGTTTGCCACGAGGATTGTAACACCCAGAAGGAAACGTCGGAGACCCTATAAAATATATACAAGTACATAAATAATCAGCATGATGAGCTGAGTTGATTTAGCCATATCCGTCTGTCCGTACGTCTGTATATACACGAAGTAGTCCCTTAGTTTTAAAGCTATCGATCTGAAATTTTGCACCTGTCCTTTTCTCACTAAGAAGCTGCTCAGATGTCGGAACGATCGATATAGGACGACTATAGCATATAGCTGCCATTCAAACTGAACAATCGCAAGCAACTTTTGTGAAGGGTATTATAGCTTCTGTGCAACCGAAGTTAACGTTTTTTCTTGTTTTATGTTATCACTTTAAAAAACAAAACTGATATTTTGACGTAAGAATTTTTGGTTGAAAAATAGAGATTTATTTTTATATTAAGTCACTAAAATTAAAAAAAAAAAGTTATTTTAAATAAAAAAATATAGTGTGTTTGGGACGTAAAGCGGAAAGTTTGCACTACATTTCGTGAAAGAAAAAATTTGTATGTACAAGATAAAAATAAATACTAAACTTTGATCTTTTCATTACCTACAACATTGCCATATAACTTTTTTCTACAGGAATGTAGGATTATGCTATGCAAATACATATTTGTTTTCATAGTATTAGGTACTCACCTCGTCGATGAGTAGTTGCTGATACCGAAGAGTGGCAACAGTGACATCACAATAGAATACATCCAGCCGGCGGCCATAATATAGCAGGCAGCTCGGAGCTTAATGCGTTTGTTCAAGTGCATCGCTTGCGTAATTGCCATCCAACGTTCGATGGTAATGACCGTCAGAGTGAAGACCGACAAATGACTGGCGAAAACCGTTAGAAAGCCGGCGACCTTACATCCGGCGCCTGCAATGAATTTGCCACATAAGTAGAATGTTTCAGTCAACAGTCCTCAACTGCATGGTGGTCTGATTTAGCAAGAAAAACTGAAGGCGTAAATGTATTTACTTTACGAGACATAACAAGAAAAAACGTTAACTTCGGTTGCACCGAAGCTATAATACCCTTCACTAATATAAAAGATTCTTTACAAGAACTTGGTTTTGATCGGTCAATTTGTATGGCTATAGTAACTTGATCTGAAAATTTTTCTCGGAGGTTGCCAAATGGGGTGAAGCTATCTCGTCAAATGAAAAAATTTCCCATACAAGCACTGCAGTCCGATCGTTCAGTTTGTATGGCAGCTATATACTATAATGATATCGGTGGTTTCGACAAGCTTCTTGAGGAGAAAAGAAAGTGTGCAAAATGTCCATGGGTGCATGAAACTGTGGGAGCGAAGTTTGTTCCGAAATTATTACATTTTTGAGCAAAAGCAGTGACGCATTAGTATCGCTCTGGAGTTGTTGAATGACGTCAACAACGATCCGGGTTCGCTCAAACGGGTTATAATAGGTCCCTGCGACTTTTTCCCATTCCCAAAACTGAAGAAGCCAATAAAAGCAGAGCGGTTTGTCACAATTGATGATATCAAGTCAGAATAGAAGAAAGAGCTGATGACCATACCGAAAGCACATTTCAGAAGTGCTTCGAGAATAGGAAAAAACGTTGGCACAAGTGTATTATATCCGAAGGGGATAACTTTGAAGGGTACAAAATAAATATTAATGAAATTCACCTTTTCCTTTGAACACACGTCGTATGTGAGAGGAGTATGCTAATCTTTAACCCAACTTACAGAGTATCGCTAAAACAAATTTAGCCCGACTTGTACTAGCAGAAAACCGTTTAAAAATAAAATGTTGAAAATAATGTGAAAGGTATTAAAAACAATAGCATGCCATGTCACGATATGTGAACCAGTAATTACGATGAACTTAAAATACAATAGTTTCCCACTAAGCTTTTCTTCAATGAGTTCACATCTGTACATATATACCTACCATATTGCCAATCGTAGGCGTAATTAAAATATGCGCCCATAGAATGTGCATCGATTGCGGCTATCAACAGCAAGTATAACCCCAAACACAAATCCGCAAAAGCCAAGTGACCCATTAGGAAACGCGGCACTGATGGATTCTCTGACCTGAGCAATGGGGAAATACAGGTAATACACACATATAACATTCTAAATATAAATTAATGAATGTTATAAATAAACTGCTTACTCACCTTATAGAAATAAATACAACCAGCACAGCAACATTGCCAACCACAGCCAGGGTTACAACAATCCATACGGAGATACGCAACCACTGGTAGCCCATAACATCTTCGCAAGGGTTGAGGGCGTTTGCCATGGGATAACACTCCACTACGTGTTTTCTACGAACATATAACAGTAAAATATAAAAAACGGATCACTATAAAGTGTAATCAATATATCGACGGCAAAAAAAATAACAAAATATTCCACGAAATTCATCAGCTTTTAATACTGAATAAAGTATGTTGTTTGTAACACTTCAACATAAATATTTTTATAAATCTATCCTCATTTAGACAAATAAATATGCTGTAAAGTCGACCAGCGCGACATAATTCAAGGTACCATATTTGTTATCTGGAACTCGTGAGAAGATATGCCTCGATGGGTTCTAATTCTCGTTATGCGAAGCAGATCGATTATTAAGATATCCCAAAAATGTATTCCGTATAATTATATAAATAATTAAAACAAGTAGGGTAGGGCTAACGGCGGGAAATACTTTCTACCGGATGAACACCTTTATATTAGATAAATGGCAGCTAGGGAAAGTATTCACCCGCTTTTATCCATTTTAAACACAGGAATAGGAAGAAATTCTCTCTGAATTTCATTAAGATAACTCACATATTGACCGATATTTGCAATATATGTCAACCAGAAGTTATAAATTCTTTATATTAGGTATATGGGGGCAAGAGAAGTATTGACCCGATAAACGCCATATGGAATACCTAAAACACAATAAAGTCAGCGACTCTCGATTTATGAACTGTAATATTCGGTTTACTTATGGCGTTTTATGGCTTGTCGATTAACGGCATTTTGTCGCCGTGACATGTGTACCAATTTTCATCAAAGCATCTCAATTTTTTTCACAAGTTACAGCTGGCACGCACGATGGACAGACGGACGGACAGTTAATCAACCGGATTTCAAATTGTCTAGTCATCTTGATCATTTATGTATAAGTATATTTATCACAATTAGTTTTAGCTGTTATGAACAACCGTTATGGGAACAAAACTGTAATAAGTCCGTAGCCACATGTTTTCAGCATATAGAAGTCAGGAGAACGTGTAGACCATTTTTCTCCATTTTTATACTCTCGGAACATGTAGCTACAGAGTATAATAATGTTAGATTAATTCATATAATAAAATAAATAAATGGAACTCTCGATAATAGCTCGTCTTTGTGTCAAAAATGGGTTAAATCGGATCAATACTTCCTTTAATATAAAATTTTGCCAACATCTGAAGTAATTTCCCAGGCTTTGATCCTTGCAAGTTGCGAGAGTATAAAATCCATGTCCACCTAAACTCATTTAAATCTAAATGTATGCAAAAAAGGAGGGAGAGAGTCAGAGAGTATGGAACCATTTCGCAGTTTTTTAGACATGAGAGCCATTATTTATATCAAGGTTTATCCCAATATTTTTGCCAATTCTATCTGCGAGACGGTAAAGACAAATATGAGTAAATAATAAATAAAATAAATAAATATTGTAGTATCAAATATAACGATTGTGGTCTGATTTTGCTCAGTTTCAAGCTTTTTGGGGACACATTATATAAGTGTGAAGAATAGTAGAGATGTTGACATCTCGCAGGTAAAGATTAGCAAAAAGAGTTGTAATTACATACAAACTTACATATGTTTATGTAGATACCATATATACAAAAATACACTTTTTTTTATGAGACTTATAGGGTAACGCCTATACATGTCAGAAATACTCTAAGGGAGTATTTCCGCAAAAACTATGTAGAGGAGGTTTTTGTTCTTTTTATTACAAACTAATTAAAATCTCACATACATATATGTACAATTGATTACAACTATGAAAGCAAATATTTACATCACATGTGTATATATAAATATAATTACATTTCGATATTAAACTTGTAGACCCGCCTCAACCGTTTCATATAAAAAATTATAACAATAACCAACTTTTTTTGTGGCCACATTTGTGAACTTAATGTCAATTTCATTATATCTTTGAGCACTTAAATGTAGGTGTGTTTGCAACTGTAAATAGGTGACAGAATTATTTATATGGTATAAGTCAGCATGTTACATTGCAGTATATGGTAGCCTTCCGAATCGGTTCGATTTTAATCGGGCTGAGAGCTGAGGCTGAGCAAGCATCTTTCAGAGATCGAATATGTTATTCTGAACTACTGATGTTCATACTCTTGCAACATGTTGCTACAGAATATAATAGTTTTGTTCACCTAACGGCTGTTTATATATTTTAATAATAATCGAGTTAGATATAGGGGTACCTGTGAATTAAACATTTTGAAAAAACGGACGTAGCCCCGCCCCCTAATAGTTTTAATGTACATATTTCCTAAACTACTGAAGCTACAATAACCAATTACAATTAGGACAAATCCTATAAGAACCCCTACGGAAAGTGTGTAAATGGATGAAATAGGATTATAACTTCACCCTCTTCCTACATAACGGTGTTGTTAAAAACTACTTAAAGCGCGATAAATCAATAACCAAATGCTACTTGAACTCACCTAAATGTAAAATTTCCGCAATACTCCTCGGTTTGAATGACATCGGGGTTTATAGTGATTACCGAGTGGAATGTGCCAAATTCTTCCGCAAAGTAGTCATTTACCTCTGTTTCTGCTTCGTTCTCTTCATTGTTTACAACAAAATCGGTTCGGGCTAAACTGCTATTGTTGCAAAAAAAATCAAAATAATTTATGAAAAGATATTAATGATCTGTGTGAACATGTCATTATATTAAAATTAAATAAACGATTGGAGAGAGACGCACTGCACTGATCATCAATATCAAAACAATAAATATATGCACAATGTTTTTTTATTTTATATGCTTAAAATTATATTATAAGAACTCGTAATCTATTAATAAATAATAAAATAGTATGTACTATGGTAAAAATTGCTTCTCTTAATTCCACTGCAAAACATCTCCGGCACATACTGTGAGTTCGTTTCTTCTTTCTGTACATTCATCCTTTAGAGGTCGGCAAACTTGCACTTTCAAACGATCTACATTACACACTTTGCAAGACCATATACATCCCTATATTAGAAGCTTACATTAAAACTAATAAGATAGTTTTTTGATCCCTTCAAATATAGTACGGTTATTTTTATTTTACCTGTAAAAGACTCCTCCACCATAAGGTGGACTCATTCCACCGCCATTGGCGCCCCAAATACGACTATCATAATCGTTTTCAGTCTCTTTTGCTCTCGTCTTATCTATGCTGTCACTGATTCCACTTCCAGTGGTCATCTCCAATAAATCTCCGCTGTCCTTATCATTGTCATTCTTTTTGCAACGCTGCTGCCATTTTTCAATTTCTTTCATTCTTTCAGCATGTCGTTGCGGATCATGGCGCGAGGGGAATATGAATGCACAGCAGTGGAAGGAATGAGTCAAAAATGCTCTTTGTAAATTCTACGGAAATTGCACGTAACCAAAACAATGATAGTAACATATGTACAGATTGCCAGAAGAAACTTACAAAAATGCGAAAGCTCACCTTAAAATTATATATGGATGGAATAGTTTTGAGTGTTTGTACATCTTCAATACGCAATTCCTCAATGTCCTGCAAGCCCGTCGGAGGTAAACTAACCAACGAAGTGCCAGATAGGTCTCTTAGGTGTGAAAATATAAGATTCAGAGGAAAGCAAATATTTGTCAATACTTTTATATAAACATAAATAGTTAGTAATTTAAGTTTCAAAGAAACTTTAGAGATCTGTTATTAGTTTCTAAAGGTCTCGTTATTTATTTAATCAAAGATATTTTAAAAATCTATCTCGTATCTATATCTACGAGGAGATATAATATTATTTAATATTTTAAATGTAGATAATTATTCTAGTTCTTCAAAAAATCACTACTTATAGCCAATAAAATATCTGTCAAGGCATTTCTCACTGCCGTTTCAATTTGAGATTGTGTCAAAACAGCTGATCTAAATCAACATTAGTATGAGCTATCTGGCAAGGGGGAAATCTAACTTGCGTTTGTGTCACAGTGTATTTGTCTCGTTTAGAAATATAAAACTTACAATACATGTATGCTAATCCCATTAAAAGCATTTGAATGGACTTCCTTCAAAACTCGGTTTTGTCGTAAAGTTCTGAAAGATCATAAAAATTATTATGTATAGTCTCTTTGCTTAGTTTCCTACTAGACAAGAGTTAACAGAAAGTAAACAGATGAAAATTATTGTCAAACAACTCTTTAATTTTAAACAAAAATACTTATGTATGATATATGTTTTTAGTTTTCAATGCGCAACTTTACCAAACGTGGTTTAGGTTTATAATATCGTAAAAATACTTACAGTTTCGCTATCTGGGAACCATTAAAAGCGGAATCGTCGATATAACTTATTTCGTTATTTGCTAAAATTCTAAAAAAAAAAATAATGTAATATTATATTAATTATAATTAAAATTTTTTTAGTTTTAATAATTAAAAATTAGTTAATTTGATCGCTGATATTCCAATATTAGCCCAACTTACAGTTGATCAGTCTTAACATTGATGGAATTCTTATCGATTCGAGTGATTTCATTGTTGTCGAGATCACTAAAAATAATGGAAAAGGAAACATATAAAAGAATTTTGATACATAACACATTTAATTGCATTTTTATAAATATACGAGGTGTGTTCAAAGGAAAAGGTAAATTCTGATTTTTCGATTTCGATTTTCCTTTGAACATGCCGCGTATAAGTACATATATACATATGTATGCAAGGAAGAAAATATACTCACATCATTTGTAAAATGTTTGGCGGTGGAATATGCCGCAAATCGGGCACCCTTATTAGACCACTGTTAATAATGCGTCTGAAAATTATTCAACCAATATTTCAAAAATGAGTATGTGTACGTAAGAAAGTATATAGCATTGCATTGTATTTACATGTATACATACATATACCTATATGCAAGTAACTGTACATATGTTTATGTCCATACCATATATGTAAATATACACGTAGCCTGAACAGGGTATATAAAGCAAATTTTTAAAACTTAAGATATTGTAGTTTATTTTTTGCTTAAGTCCGGCTTTGGATGGGTTGACGACTATTAAACTCTCTTTATTTACTTTCTTTAAAAACATTAAAACTACAACACAGGGAAATTGTATGTCGCTGACTTATGGCATGTGATTCAGACAAAAAAATTTTGTTTTTCATTTTTACGTCCGGACCAAACCAATAACCTTCGTGTACACCGACACAAGTCAATGTAGGAGAACACTACTCCGTCTGCTGTTGACATTTAATTGCTCTCAACTGCGCATAGCTGACAAATTGTGAAGTACGTCCTCACCTGGAGTTAAAAGGATTATTGCAGGTAAGGATTCTATCGGAATGTCAAACGAATTTTCCGATTTCAAAGTATTACTATGTTCATGCGACGAAGTAGATTAAAATATACTCTTACAAATGTTTGACACTTCCATCTTACGTAGATGATTGGCCAATTTTCACTGGCAAATAGAGTGTGTTTCACTGGCAAATAGAGTGTTCTACAAGTTTTAGGCCACCTTCGAACGACTTATTGACTTTTATATGGTTTTTTATAACAGAAGCTCATACGGCAGCTAATAGTCTAGAAAGGGTATACGCTATTTTCTTTTTTGAATAGTAAAATTTATTCAGTTGAAAGCCGATAGGTTATGTCTACAGGCCTCGTGTCATCAGCAGTCACCCTCTTCACATGGTATGCGCATATACGTTTTATTACTACAAATGGGAGTTTGAATAAAATATTTACATTTTCAGATTCATTTCTGTAGATTTTAAAAAAATAAAATTTTTGCCAAAAAAAAAAAATATATATATATTAACGCTTTTCAAGTAAATTTTCGAGTTAAAATTTGTATTTCGTAAAAATTTTTTTATAAGTGTTCTAGATGCTGTGGAGAGTCCTCTTTCTGGACAATTAAAACTTATCAACTTAAAAAGTTTTTTTGTGGTCATTATTGGAGTTTTAAAAAAAAGTCTTAAATGACCACATGCTTTCGTTAAGCGTTAAAATAAATTTTGAGTAAAAATCGTCAAATTCGGTATATTTTATATAAACGTGAAGAGTTTAAATCAAAAATTTACCTCGAAATTTACTTAAAAACTGAGTGCACCGCCTCTAGGGGTTCAAACAAATTTTTTTTCTCCAAAAATTTACTTTTTTATAATATACAGATTTTACCCCCAGGCTAAGCAAAAAAAAATTTTTTTTCGCTCCACCCTAATATACATACTTCAAAGGCCCGCCTTTGAGTGTTACAAACATGGTGGCAAACTTAATATACCTTGTTGAGGATACAAAAAAAATATTTGAACATGTGATATAAATAGAGTTTACTTACATAATTTTAATAGTTTCCGAAATACCACGAAAAACATCCCGCGATAGAGTTATCAACTTTGGTGCATTTGAAATATATCTGAAAATATAATAAATTTAAATAAATTTCCTTGATCAGAAGCGAAAAATGATACGTGCTCAATGCCAAACTTTTAATAGCATTAAGAGGAGAGAAGAATTTTAAAAGTTACAGCTTTTATAATCAAGTAAAATTAAGTAAAATGTATATTCTATTAAAATCGTATTCTGTTCAGTACTGTCAATATTCGAGTGAAACTTTAAAATATATGAAATGCGTAAATCGAAAAAATAATATGTAACGTACCCTGTAATGTTCTCTGTAGTTTTAAAAAAGTCTGATCTAAAAAATTTAATCTGATATTGTAGTATTCGAATAATAATTTATGCTAAATTTTCTGTAGATATGTATCTTGTAAGATAAAAAGTTTTTCATTTTAAAACTTCAGTTTGTATGGCAGCTATATGTTATAGTGGTCAGTACCGGCGGCTCCGATAAATGAACAGGTTCAGTAACTCAAAAACTGAGGGACAGCGTATCACGCTGAGCATTTATACGAGTATATATATTTTATAGGGTCTTCGACGTTTCCATCTAAGTGGAAGTATTTTTAATTTTACCATGAGTTTCATTTTCAATCGGAATCTTTCACTTTTAGATTGCGTTGAATTTCGATCGATTTTTCAAGCATAACATCACTCTATCGGTAATGTTTATTCCGGAATTTTCTATAAAATATCATAATTGTGGATGCCATATACGAATTCCACAAGCTGTTTTAAATTACTGCTAAACTCACAATAATACTACCTGTAATTAGCCACCAGGGAAAACATTCACTTCATTCCTCCAACAATAATGAAGCTATCTAAGGGTGCCTGCAGAGTGGACGCTCGGAAGCGTAAAGCTGGTTTTGATCAGCGCTCATCAATTGTAGGTACCGCAGAGTGGATGCGAGATTTAGCGCTGATTTCCGCACGTACTTTGCTATTATCCTCGTACATGTGTACTTTTCTTTTTAAATTTGCATCCAGGTCTATGCTAAATATGAAAAAAATACAACGTTTGTAAAGCATCCATAAATACCAAACGAGATAACTTCGGCGAATTTCACCATTTGCATAAACGTGCAATCGTCAGCTTTGCACTCGGCTCGCATAAACCTAACATTTCAATATTTCTTTGCCGAAGATTTTACATCCATCTCAAAAAATTTCAAACTAAATTCGACCCGAATTTTGCAATCCTCTTTACTTGCTCTGTTCTAATGCAAGTGTAAAATCTCATAGTTATCAGCTTACAACGTATGTTTAAATTAATGTAATTAATTATAAAGTCCCTGAAATGCATAACTAAAAATTTTTGAGCATTTCAGTAAATATTTCCAGTTACAGAAACTTTAATGCACCAGGGCAACGTTCAGCAAAAGTAAAAAGATTCATATCGAAAATATGTAGTTGTTTTTATTTCAAGAAGTAAGGAAAGGCTAAGCTCGGCCATAACCGAACATTTTCTACTCTCGCAATTTGCATGGAAATAATCCATGGGAAATACTTCCAGCTGAAAACTTGATATTACAAAATATTGCTAGGATCACTATTCATTTTTCGATGAAACCGAATGTATTAACATCAAATTTAGTAACTAACTAAGTTATATTAAAGTTAGTGGAATCACTTAGTGTCATTACTACATTTGCTCTCTCCATTGAACCAATAAGGAAGGCCTAAGTTTGAGTGTGACCGAACATTTTATACTCTTGCATCTTGCAAGAATCAAAGCCGGCTAAACACTTTCAGGGATTGGCAATATTGTTAACTGTACCGCAAGGCTTTAACTTTATTGTTCGGCGAAATCTTTCATGGGTTACAGTCAAATTTGGTATCATATTAACTTATTTTGAAGGTCATAGGCTCTCTTGGTTTTATTACTATATTTTACTTCCCGTCAGCGAAAATTATATTAAAATATAATATTAAAATCATCCTCAAATGGGATACATAATTAACACATATTTTTAGAAATAAACTATAGTGCATCTATTATTATACGTTCAGTTAACTTTGCTAAGATATTTTACAGACTGCCCGATATATACAGTATAAAGCTCACCGGATGTTTGAAAATGTTATATAAGGTATATGTAAGAAAGGGGTAGTATTGAACCTGTTTTATCTTACGCCTGAACGACGTTTACAATTCGTTCAACTTTATTATGAAAATTCACGTTTTGAAAAGCATGTGTTTCGCGCGCTCCGCTCAACTTATGGTCAACATAATCAGCTAACTGAGCGTACTATTCGCAACACCATCACCCATTTGAGACCCAGCATTCATTATAGGATAATTTTCGACCAAATAGACCACGTCCAGCACGCAGTGAAAAATATATAGCGGCCGTAGCTGAGAGTGTATACGAAGACCGTGGAAAGTCGATTCGGCACCGTTCGCAACAACTCGGACTGACGTATGAAACGACTTGAAGCATTTTACGTCGAGATCTTAAATTGAAAGCGTTCAAAATACAGCTTGTGCAAGAACTGAAGCCGCTCGACCTTCCCAAGCGGCATCGCTTCGCTCTATGGGCTCTTAAAAAGTTCCAAGAAGATCCGAGAACGTAACCGTTAATGGCGACCGTTATCGCGCCATGATAACCGACTATTGACTGCCTGAAATTGAAGCACGTGATCTCGGCGATATTTGGTTTCAACACGACTGCGCCATTTCCTACACATGGCATCAATTCCATTCATCGATTTAGTGAGAGTACACTTCAGTGAGCAGATAATTTCACGTTTTGAACCGGTCGATTGGCCACCAAGATCGTGTGATATCACACCGTTAGACTTTTTTCTATGTAAAGTCTAAAATCTATGCGGACAATCGCGCTTCGATTCAGGTCTTGGAGTAAAACATCATCAACGTATGATTCGCCAGTTACCAGTCGCAATGCTCTTAATTTATGGTTCAGTTGTAGTATTTTATAATTTTTCGATTAACGGCATTTTTTGGGTGTGAAAATCCGATCCGATTTAGCCAATCTGCAACGCAAGTCTTTTAATAGTGCCAAGGAATAGGTGTACCAAGTTTCATCAACATATCTTTATTTTTACTGAAGACGTACGGACTTACAATCACCAGGAATTAAACACTTATTTTCATATATAGATAGAACTCTACAGCTATGGTACAAACCACCGTTAGGGCAACAGAACTATTATACTCAATAGCAACATGTTGCGAGAGTATAAAAATTAGGGTAACCGTAGTCACCGATTGTGTTTTATATAATATATTATATTATTACTTCTCTATCGCTCTATCATTATTGGTTTTCTCACATTCAGCTGTTTGCGTGCGGATATTGCACCACCTTATGCTAGACTTTATGATTTTATACAGCTATTTATGCAATTAAATGGAGAGCATTACCATGTTGCTTTATGTACTCACATAGTTCGTAGCAGCTTAAGGCCGTCAAAAGCACCGTCCTCGATGCACTCCAAATGCTGCAAGTCCTTCAGTATACTTTTTGTATTGGCATAGTGTGCGAATAAGCATAAAATGAAATAGAACAAAATAAGGCTCGCGGTTCTTGTTGACTCAATGTCCCTACTTACAAATCCTGCAACGAAGCGGCATACTTCTTCAGACCGGTTGTACGAACGCGTGGCAAACCTGCCGATGCGATGCTAAGCCTTTGCACCGGCACTGTCAGTGTTTGTGGCACACGCATTAGCGCTTCACCCACGCAGTGGCACTCGATTTCATCCTGCAATATGAAAGTAAAAATTCCAGGTATCTACATATTTACTTGTAAATTATTATTTAAATACAGATACTAAGCTTCCATTCAGCAAATTGCTAAAGTGATGTTGATAATATTTTTGTAAACATTATTTAATTAGAACAATTCTTCCGCCGGCGTGAGTGCAAATGGGTAATTAAAAGAACCAAATGTTTATGTGTTATCGGGGAGCTCAAAAAGTTAGAAGTCTGTAACAGACTTTGTTTTCAACAACTTTTCTCTAGCGTGATCAAGATAGCATTCTTACCCAAATCCAATAAGGATGGAAATGAGCAGGTGTTCCCCTGACTTTGTGTATTCGGTCCTTGGATCTATAATGCTGATGTGAACTCAGTAAACGTTGGTCAGTAATCAGCACTTGTGGGGTTGCGAAAGCCTTCTGGCCTAGAGTGGAACATTGAACTCTAGCTATTAACAAGGTTCACATGACCGCAATAATTGGACACTGTCCCATTGGCACTCACGTGGCACTCACTTGTCAAAGTTACAGCGAGGAAAACGAGGTCCAAACATCTAGACACTTTTTCTTTCACTGTTCAGCTTATTCTGACTAACGTTTAAGCATTTCGGTTGCCATACTTTTTACACCTTAATAAATTTGTGGCTGACTCAAAACGCTTTGTCGATATGCGACGGTCTTATTTATCCATATCCAGAAGTTCTGGACAACGGACAGTTGTCTTTAGCTGCCCATGTGGAATTATTCGTGGCCTCACGTAAAATTAGCTTATTTACCTAAATTAATTTTATGAAATCGAATTGGCCACATATTTTTGAGTATGTACTTGTAGCTCTTCGTTGAAAGTGGGCATAGCATTTGAAGTTTAGTAAAAAAGTTTCAAATTAGAATTTTTTCCAAGCGGAAACATTTGTGTATCTGGCTACTAAAGTACATATAATCCAAAGTTCTAATGAATAATAAAACATATTAAAAACGAATAACGAACTCTATTTAGTTCATTTATTCTTATGTTATAGGCGCCTTTAAATGCATCATTAAGTCCATTGCACTGCTATCTTTTATTGCATACGCTTTCCGCCTACTATTCCACAGACGCGCAGTTAATTTAATAATAATGTACTGAAATCTATCTCGATTGAACACATTGGTGAATTAATGAAAGATACGTTAGTAATTGAATAGCTCTATCAATTAGCGGTAGTGTTTGCAGCTCATTACCTTCACTCGATGCATGGGAGCGAAAGGAGATAGAATATTAGGGTTACACGCTTTGATTCGGAACATTCATAATTTATGCTTATTCGTTCTGTGTATTCTAAAATAGGTTATCTAGTCAGAGAAAATATAGACGTTTTGACTAATCTTTTGTGGGGTCTTTGCGGTTACATAAATTTGAATGATAACCACTCTTATCGCTGAATCCTGATCTGAATCTGAAGACAATGTACAAATAAAACAATCGTGTGAATTGAATCAGGCGTTGCCAATCCGAAATAGTTGTATTGTTGAAACGAACTGGCAAAACAAATTTCTACAGCAAATATAAATTTCCTAATATAATTATGATCATTGCTTTTTATTAACTGTATTTATGTATTACTTGATAGAGAATTCTTTTGGAAAGGAAATACTTACTTATATTATATTTCTGATGTTTGCTGCAACAAACTCAACTAACGGTTGCATTTCTACCCAGCAAGTCGCGACTAACCGAACCTCCATGCATTGAAAGAATTGCATAGAAACTAGATATATTGCGTAAGGCCTTTCCCTATGCCTAATAAAGGTATGAACGATCACCGCTTAAATCTACAGCGCGATGCGTCGAGTGGATTCAGAGACATTATTCTGCGAATTTCTAATTTATTTGTATACCATACATTCAGATTCAGTGATCACAAGTCGTTGATTTCACGAATTCAGACCTTTATTTGATTGATTTTGTTGTTATCATTTTTTTTTTGTTCAGTATTTCTAAAAACAGCTTCATTTCTCTCCTTACTCTCTGGTAGTGATAGCTTATTCCAAGTATTTTATTCTAGTAATCACAACTACAAATTCCGCCAATTTATTACGGAAGCACCCTAGTGTAAAAGTAAATACGCACACGTATTCAAATCATAAGCTTTCCAATTGCTTTCAATGTTGTTCCATTGAAATATCTCTCTACATGTGTTTAAACTTTCTGATCGCTGATGGTCGAGAGTGCCGCAGCAGGTTGCGAATTCATTCTAGTGCACTTTCCCAAAGTTTTCCTCTTGAAACTTTTCTTTGACAGCCACTTGTTCCGCATTCTAGCACATACTGTCAATTTGATAACTGTCCTCTGTAATAAAATTATCGCATACATTTTCCACAACCGCAACAAATGAAAGTGTCAAGAAATATATTTCCAGTACACCTTCCTCTTTTCCGTACTCTATGCTGCTTGACTTGCCCCACAAACGCGCACGAAGTTTGACGCCAGCAAATACCAATGATTTTCCGTCCTAGCGGCGAAGTAGAATGAAGGCAATTGGCAAACGTTAAATGGGCGTTGGTAAAGGTCAAATTGTTGGTTGCTTTTTATGTCTTAAATTTTCCTATTTTCGAAATTTTTTATTTCCGGCTAGTGCTTTTATGAAACTCTCGCCTGCCCGTACTTACACGCCACCACTGACGACCGCAGACATGGACTGGAGGCGAACTTCAGCAAGCAGGACACATAAATTATCTAATTTCAGACTCTTTTTCATGTGTTCTTAGTGATTTGTTGTCGACACATTTCATTTTATTGCAACCCAGTGTAGTAGACAAAATAATGGAAACAGGGAATAAAATAGTTTCAATAGGGGCAACTAATCCAGTCATACATTTATTCTTAAGGTTTCTAACCAACTGTAGAGAGTTTTAGGATTATTTTTGATGTTTTCACTATTTCGAGTTAGTTTTACCCCGAGACTGATTTTTAAAAATTTTTGGACCTCAACGAAGTTGTTTAAAAATCTTTTCGTTATCACATCGAGTTTTTTGGCGGTTCAAAGACTATTTAAAGATAATAATGGAAAATCTTTGGAATTTCGTAGAGAATAGGAGAAAACCAAACATAATAGCGCATTGGCGCTTATGAATGAACAAGGATTTGTATTTAGTTGTGCAACATGGATCCACACCTTATTTTCATCAAGCAAATTAACACACATGTTCTTGCACTAATTCTTAGAAAAAGCTTAAGTTTTTAAAAAAGCTATATTAAAAAGTTAATTCTAAAATATAATATATCCAAATATATTTTTCGTCTTCCGATTAATACATAACATTATTAATCAGGATGGGTATTTTCTCATATATGCCCAATAGATTATTAAGGAGGGGTGAAAACCTTAAAATGTTTTATTTGAATTTATGTACCGTTATTGTGGCACAGAGAAGATGTTATAATAAATATAAGTTTCCCTTTCGGAACTTTATGCAAAATTACTTAGTTTGGATTTTGCGTTTTTTCCTGTAAGCTATTATAATAATTGCACTAGCCCAACATTCTTAATGCAATTAGCTTTTTGCGGCTGCTTAGTAGCAAACAACGATCGGTTTTGTGAAGAATACATGCCAAATTGGTCGCAGTATTACCGCCCGCTAATCAAACAAAAGACACATGGTGGATTGTTGCAGCAGGAAATGGCACAGACATCAGCAAGTAGGATTCTTGACCCATGTACATACTAAGTAATTTAATTTATAAACGAATGATAAAGTAATCGATTTAGTTTAGCTCAATAATAAAATATGGCGGTGAAGAGGCTCCCGTGATAAAAATATATAACAAATATGTATACATACATATGTGGATAAGTATTTACTTATACATTCCTGTAACATAGAAAAAGCTTCGGAAAGGCAATGTGATACTTTCAATACTTTCAATTACTTATTGACTAGAGGAAGGTGTGTACATACTAAAATATATATACTTGTACAATAATTATGTGTATGTGTTTACAGATGTTTGTCAAAATTCAACGTAAGATGGTATATTGAGCGCCAAGCTATTCATATAATTTTATAATTTTTAAGAAAACGTGCCAACTCAATTTCATAAAAATATCACAAATTTTGACCAACTTAAACGGTTTAAAGTCATGTGAAATGTCGGTATCTTAGAGCTGAGAAACGAAAGGGCTGACTGAATTAGTTTTTGACATTCCGCAAGTATGTTTGAGAACTTGTTTTCAAGCAATTCTATAAATATCTAAATATAAACATATATATGGAGTAAAGTCAGCCGGAAGGCTCCCTCAATTCCCTTAAAATAACTAGCACATTAGCCGATATATGTGCTATAAAGTCAACTGGAAGTTCGAAAATCTTTATATTAGGTATATGGGGGATAAGGAAAGTATAGATCCCATTCAATATATTTTTGACAGAGAGCTATATTAGTATCAAAGAAATATTTTCACCAAATTTTAATAACTCACAGATTGACCGAAAGTCAGCCATACGGACTAGGGCCACGTATTCGTTATGTGAGGGCTTGAACAGTTTTGGTCTGATTTCGACAAGTTTTGGGCGTTTTTGTGCAAAGTTTTATCCGGATACATTGATTGGCTTTTGATTTATGTACTGGAAAGTGAAAGAATCAGATGGAATTTAAAATTGTCTTATATGGGAAAAAGGCGTGGGCTTTGTCCGATTTCACCCATTTAGTTTTGGGTAATACAAACAATCTTTAGGTGAACAGAGCTATTATACATACCATACTATGTAGCAACATGTTGCTAGAGTATGTACGCACATATCCATTAATATAGTAAAATTTAAGATATTTGCTTAAAAGTCGCAGTACTCACTTGATTTGTGGCGTTCCAGCAACAACATTGCCATCCCGTGTGCGTAGCCGACCCTGGTCGGTAGCCTTGTGTACTCACATTTGAACCAATATGTAGAGGATGCCGTGTCCACAGATCATTTACCGCAGTGCTGTTGTGTGCAGTGGTGACTTCGTTGCCATTGTCCCTATTCGAGCTATTAGCACTAGGTAATAATAGCTCTGGTGCAATGCCGATCAATGCCCTATCGAAGCCATATTGCATGTCGTAGCAGTTATTTAGCTGTGCGCTTTGCTCCTCGGCTTGTCGCCTATGCGCGCAATGGCAGCAACAACAACAGTAGCATAATAGCAACCATAATACCGGCAACAGGCGAAATAACGGGTACATACGCATCTGCAAAAATAACTTGTGGAAGCGACGCCGGCGACGCCAGCTGGCACTCGACGTTCTCGCTCTGGGATAATGCTTGGGGGCGCGTCTCATTATGCCGATGTCACTTTGTTTGGAATCATCATCTAATTTTGCATGTGCCTTGTTCTTGTTTTTATTTCAGTCGCAGCTGGCGCTGTGCGGAATCTTTTTGTAAATGTAGTGTGTCTTTTATGTGCTTTATTTGGATTATCTTTTATGGCATTGTAGTAGCGCTTTAGCCATTCTGATACAGGTAACATTTTCATTGCCAATTAGTCTTTGGGGAATGCTAATTTTAGCTATTTAACTCTCGATCTGTAAAAGAAATAAATTTTATGAAGTAAAGAAGAGCTAAGTTCAGGTGTGTGTAGAAATACCCTCAGGTGTTAGCAAAATGTTATATTAAAAAATTTTGCGAAAGAATTCAACACGCATTATAACTTATTAGCTTATATTATAGGTCATAGACTCACTTAGTTATATTCTGCATCATGTCAACGGTAATTATATTAGAATCATTGTTAAATGAGATATACATATGTGTTATAAACTCAACCGAAGTTGCTAAGCTGAATATTTTGGGTTGATTTGGAAAACGCCAACCAAAGGCCCGAAATTCATTATATTAGGGTTATAAATTTAGACCAAGGTTCAATTCAAATTCAGTGCTAAACCACATAATGCTTTCACATATTAGACATAAAGAATAACTAAACTCGTTATATATTGTATATGAGGCCTGGGCTAATGCGTAGAACGGTTTCACACATTTTTATTCGTTCACTTAATTTTGCCAAGATATCTTATATATTGACCGATATATACGGTAGTTTACTTGCCCTTAATAAAGTTTAAACTTCTTACTTTAGGTATATGGCAACAAGGGGAAGTTTTACTTATATTTTATCCATGTTTGTCACTTTCAAAAGTACCCCCGCGGGCTTTAGAAAAATTTAAAAAGGGCAATATTGGTCACTGATTCGACCTCCTTTTTTTGAGGGGAAATTGCATTTATGCTGTGTGGTAAACAGTGATTCTTCTCATTCGATAGCAACTGCCAATAATTTGTTTAACGAGTTTCACCCTGGTCGCACAAAATTTGAGTCGAATGAGGAGGTCATCGCCGTCACGCAGACCTAGCTTGTTGACCTCTAGAAAACCTGTTTTTCAGTAGGGTAAGATCTAAAAGGGATTATGTTTACAAATAAGTCTTCGATGTCCGAATTTTTTTTTTCTCAATCGTTTTGAGATGCCGAATTTGCCAGGAAATTTTTTCTAATGAAAACTTTAATTATGATTAAAATCGATTTTGTGTGCTATTTAATATGAAATAAATAATATGTGGAAGCAATTTAGGGAAATGTTATTGAATATAATAGTGAAAAATATAAGTGTAAAATTCTGTAGAAATCGAAGAAACTAAATATTTGAAAATCTTAGACTGGTCTAACACCTTAAGTTATTTTAAAGGCAAAAGCGCATTACATATTTTTAAATTAAGACACAAGATGAAATAAATGAAATTACCCTGAATAGGGTATATTAAGTTTGCCATGAAGTTTGTAACACGTTGGAAACGTCGGAGACGCATGACGAGCTGAGGCGATTTTGCCATGTCCGTTTGTCTGTATAATTTTGCACACGTCCTCTTCTCCACAAAAATCTTAAAAGAAATTGTTCAGAAAGTTATTAAGTGCTTGAATGGGCAACCTTCATAAAATGCGGCATGGGTTATTGTTTAAGATAATATACAAAGAAATTGTTTGGATCGGATAGTTATTATATATATAGCTGCCTTACAAACGGACCGTTTGCGCTTTTTATTGTTTTAATTTAATTTAGATATCAACAAATTGGCGTTAAAATTATATTGATACTCACTTGGGATTTCGAATTGCAGCCTTTTAAATTTTATCGCTGCATGAGCAAGTATTGAGCCACGGTACATACCCTTACCATACACTAGAATGTTTCTATATACCTATGTATATTAGAGTATAAATTTCATATTTAATATACTATGTTGTCATCAAAAACCATGTCCCAAATCAATGCAATCAGAGAAACTATCACTAAAAATAGCCGAAATGAGAAATTGCACCTAAATTATTTAATTCCAAATATTGATAGCAATTATACTACAATCATCCAGTATGATCAGTTGGAATATAGATAAATATTTACATATATGTAGATATGTATATGTGCGTGGTTATATCACTGCATGCGGGTGAAAATGTTATTTACTGACAGCTTTTTTGTGTTTGCCATCATTAAACGACTAAAGTTAAACAATATTTGCACCAATTAACATAAGGCCGCTGAAACAACAAGAATTTAATCTCACAAACAAGGTACATTGTACACTAAGATGCACGTACATATAAATTAAGCACACAAATAATATTACCTTCGGCAAAATCAACTTGCATAAACTAGTTATTTTAGAAATAGTCTGGGCCGCTAGCCCAACTAGTCAGCCAACTGCCTTTTACCACACAAGCAACGGTTTTTTAATATGACAATGTCCTACAAACTGTCAAGTATCAGATTTCGGTCAGAAATATACTAGCATCATATTATTTATAAAAAAAAAAAATTTTGTTGAATTATGCAAAACCACTAACTTATTTTTTTAAATTTCAGATTTTCCATTTTAGTATTATATTAAAAATCAGTTCGTAAGAGCTTACAAATTGATATCCAGCCAAAAACTATAGCTATTGTATGATTATGTTTGTGATCGAATAGAACAACTATAATAAATTGTCCTTAAATTGTTAAAAATCAAATGCTTTCAACACTAGTTCAAATTCTATAGGGAAACTGAAGTAGTAAACTGTTACTTTTCTTTACTACACAGTTCGATGCTTGACGGCAAGGATTATTACTTATGCAGTATTTTATAGGTATATTTTTATTGTGTAAAAATATATTCCGTTTGAATGAAAGAAACCCGATAGAGATGTATAACAATTGCTTTAGTATTAGCAAATATTTGGAGTTCAAACGCGGAGTACAAACGGAAACTAAATCTCGTGAGTCCCATGAGAGTGTGGTTGTTGTGTGCCTATGCGGGATTTGCAGTAGTAAGCGATTTAACTAAGAAACAGCTGACATAAAATAATTAAAATTAAATATTCTTCCAAAGTAGTTATTTTTTCGATATAAACCTATGTGAAAGCCATATAATTAAACCAATGGTAAATAATATATCCACAATATTTGTATCCAAAACAAAAAATTGGCTTCGCCGAAAATAATGTTTCTCTATAATATTTACGTTAGTCTCACGTGAGATTCGTGTTATCGTAGTGGATTACTAGGTAAATATCGTTAGGTTGCACAACTATTGGTAGCCTTCTTCTTGTTAATTGACGCAATTATTAGCTACGCTATTTTAACCATGAAAGGTTCTCGGTCGCTTTGTAATAGGGTTTGTAGATTTTCAGAGAAAATTTCTAGCAGGATGCTGGTTGTGCTGATAGATGTAGTATCCTTTGAGCGGTGTTCATATTTGAAATAATTTTATCTGGTAATTTAAAATTTATTTGCTGTTTTTGATTAAAGCATCAATTAAGTGGCCGGTTAATGCGTTCTAAAATATTTCTTCAAGTATCTCATTCTTTTGGCAAGAATCATAAATGAAGTGAATGGAAGCCTAATTTTGACATCAGGCTACCTAAGCGACACGGACGATCGGTCGGCAATACTTTAGTTTAGTTTCTTCCAGTCAATTCTTTGTGGAGTCTATCGACTAATAGCGTTTATTTGAGTTTCGGGAACAGATAAAGCTGATCAATGGCGAATATGAGAGACAGCACTGTTACTATTTGAAAACAAAAAAAAAAAGTTTCCAAATATTTTTATGTCTGTTGCTGACAAATACATAAACCAAAATGTTTTAGTCCGATCCAATTTATATAGCTAGTGTCGCTATTAGCACTCATCACAAATAAGTTCGATGAGAAGATGTATTTATGTTAATAGTAGTTTTAAAGCCTAAGGAGCAATTTTCTATAAAATAAAAGACTAAATACTGCGATGAAGACTTCTAATGATTATACTCTCGCAAACATTATGCACAGATCAGTAATACTTTTGTTTAATGCCAATACTAGATGAAATCGGTGAAAATCTTGTTCGCCTTTGAATCTTGCAAATTGCGACCGTATTGAATTTTCGTCTGCCCACGAACTTACCTGCTCAAAGAGAAAACATATAAATATACTAGAAGATCCGGCCGCGCGTTGCAGTGGCTATGGTATACAGAGTACAATTGTTCCTATTACGAATTACTATAAATCATAAGAATATTTGCATATAATGTTATAATTTTAAATTGGATGGATCAAGGTTTCCTCACCCTATATCCCCTCCAGCTTTGGGTTTCTCACTACGGCCCTGAGTATATATTATATATTATTATATTAACTTATGTACTTCTGTATATATTAGGTTAGTCTGGCAGGCTAATAGACCACGCGTGGTCCTTAATACATGAAAATATTATATATTATACAAATAAAGACGAAAATGTTATTTCCGGTATAAAAATCCGAAGTATTGAACTGGAAGTCTTACCGGTACCACTTAGTGCGTCCAAGTAAAATGGCTGCCTTGTTCATAGCAACAATCAATATATTTGATGTATAATAATATTATAATAAACTATTCAATACAGCGAAAATATTATCTACGAATAACGGCGAAAACGTAATTGCCGGTTTAAGAATGCAAGGGATTGTACTTGCGGTTTAATTTTAAAATGATTCATACAAATAATTGTCAATGGAAAAAAGAATTAATTTTCCATTTGGCATTTTACTGAAAATTTTATTTTGTTTTTTTTTTTTTTGAATTTTAAAGAAATATTTATGTTTAGAAGTAATTTCTTTTTATGAAATATTTTTAATTTTTAAAATTTGAGATTTAAACTATCCTCCCATTTATGTTTGGTCAACCTGGACACAGTGTGTAATTTTTATACATATACTTGTATGTATGTATGTATACAAACACACGGAGATATATGAATAGGCATAGATGTTCCTCGGTAGAATCGTGTGCTTCAATTCGAGTCAAATTTAGGCAAATGATGTTATGAAAAAAAGCGTGAGATATTTTGTAGTCATAAGGAGTTCACGCATTCCAAAACTATCAATACTTCAGATACATACATATACACATGTATGCATAATTATATAGTTACATAGAGTTGAAAGTCTTGAAATCTGTTTTTATAATCGTTTGCAATATTCATAAATACAAATTAATATTTGTATAACAAATTGCCACAAATCTGTTAGACTTCT